TGACTGGGAAATTATCTTTACTCTTACCCAAACCTTCACTCTTCCCTCTTGCCTCACTATAACTACCCTAGGCTCCTGCTGCCATTCCCAGAGGAGAAGAAAAACCCAGAAAGGACAGCACAGAAGAACAGTGGTAGCCTTCCCTTCAGATTGTCAGTTATTGAGGTGGAACATTCCTTGCCCAAAGGAAGGCTCTTTCTGCTCCCTGTAACCAGAGCACACAACGAAGGTCATCTAAGGCTGAAGGCCCCAGGAGAAGGAATGTGCTTGGGGGGCAGGGAGATGGGGGTCTCTAAGGTAGGATATCTAAGAGCTGATGGATGAGAAGTTAAAGCAGCTAGAGCAGAAAGGGATACACCTAGTGGGGCCTCATTTTATTACAATAGTACTGGCATGCAGACAGGGTAGCAGTATCCCCCAAAATTGTGCAGAAGAGAAGATTGAGGGACAGAAAGAAACTGATGTGTCCAAGGACCAAAAAGGGCAATGCACAGTTCTCCTGACTCCAAGAGTCCCCATTCTCTTCTTTTCCTCAACAAGGATTCTTACATGACACCTACCTATTGCCTGAGTGCACTGGAAGTGGGTATCCAGACCCTTCTGATTCCAGCTTTGGGTGGCTGCTCCTGCTCCAGGATCCTTGCCCAGAACATAGGGGAAAATGAGGTTTATGCCAGTCATAAAACCAAGTTGGGGTCTGATATGGCCATGGGAGATGCTTCTGCCCAGGTTGCACAAGTAGGAGCTAAAAAGAGGAGTCCCCAAGGAGCCTTCACATGTAGAGCAGCTCCAAGAACAGCTCCCCATTTTAGAACTGGAAGCAAAGGGGCTTGAGGAGCTGTTTCTTAATTCTGAGACATAATAGAAGAACCAGATTGAGCTAGGGCTCTTGTATTCCTGTTGTAAGGTGCCTGGGCACAGGCCCCAGTCTGAATAAAAACCGTGGTCAGGAGTGAAAGGGTGAGTAGACTGGCTGCTTCAGCTGGTTGGAAAACAGGCTGGAAGGGAAAAGGAGAGGGCATGGGGACCAGATAGGAATTGTTTTCTCTACTAGAGGTGGAAAGAGGAGGGAGAAGGAGGGAATGAGCTGGTGGGTGCTTATGAGTGTACCTCCTCTCTAAGCCACACAGGAGATGTGGGCCTGCTATAGTTCCCCAGCCCAAGGTTGACCAGTGGTTTCCAGGAATGCCAGAGTATACAGACACCTTCTTAGCCTCAGTTTACCCTTCTGATGAGTGAGAAAAGGAAGCTGAACACGTTTGTATCCAGCTCTGCATGGTTGTCAGTGAAAGATGCCCGGATCCAAAGATGCCACCCGGAGAGTGTGTTCGCCGGCATCTGGCCAGCCAGTGGTCCCCCTCCCCTTCCCGCTCCTTCTCCTCTCCCCCTCCTCCGAGCCGCCCGGCCCCCGCCCCCGCCCCCGCCCCGCCTCCGGTGTGAGATGGGGGCGGGCGGCAAGCAGAGCCCAGAGGAGCCGAGCCGCGGACGCCGCCACCTGATCCCATCTAGTCGCTACGAGGCAAGCGACCGGCACTCTGCGCTCAGGGCCCCCGGCGCCCTGGGATCGTGCAGATTTCAGGACAAGAGGCCGGCGCGAACAGGGCCAACCCCGACCTGAGTCGGAGGCCCAGGCAACCTGCGCAGCGTGAGTACTGCAGTGGCCGACCTGGGGCTAGGGGCGACCAAGGGAGTGGACCGCAGGGGATGGGGAAGAAGGGGAGGCGGGAGAGTGTCCTGGGGGCCTAGTGCCCCGGGAAGCATAAGGAGGGGCCCGCTCTACCCTCACTCTCCCCGGGTGGGAAAGCGAATCTGGCCTATTCCCTACGGTGTCCGGATCTCAGGGAGAGGTTGGGATGAAATTGAGGAATGGGAGGAGGGTGGGGGTAAGTAGTGATGGAGAAAAAAGGATGAAGGGAATTCAGAGGCAGGGATGCAGCGGGGGTGGATGACAGGGAGAGGGGGTTGGGGGGACCTGGTGCAGGCTGGAAGGAGAGAGGAAAAGGACAGAGGTGGAAAGATATTCTATCTCCTGGGCCACAATGTGCTGCCCCTCCGCTGCCCTTTCCCCTTCCTCTCTGGGGCCTTGGGTCACTTTCCCTCCTGACTGGGCTGAACCGTCCCCCAAGTCAGGATGGAGTTGTTTCCAGGTCTTTGGGAGGTCAGATCCAAATAGTCCAGTGCAGAGCACCCCTTCCTCTAAATGTATCAGTATCAACCCTGGAGCTTGGAGGAGACAGAGCAGAAAGGGCTCATTTGGAAGTGGGTGGGTATCCAGGCCAGTTTTCAAAGCTCTGGCAGGCTATACCATTTCTTCTTTGGTTCTCTGGAGAAAAGAAAGCAATTTGCAAAACTGGGCAGCAGCCTGAGGTAGATTGTTCTGACTAAAATTAGCACTGATATTCTGATGAGGTTGGCACCCTGACCTGCCTGGGATGGTGGAGGGAACCTCTCTCTCTCTCCATAAAGAAGACACCCAGGAGACTGGGGAGTCATTTGAAGCATCTGTGAGCAGGAGCCAAGGCCACTCACTGCTCTAAAGACTGGTCCAGCAGCACCACCATCCACTTGCACCCACCAGCCTCAACACCAGAAGGAAACCCAATGCAAGTGGCCCCCTGTGGCTCCCACTGCCCTGAATCCATCTCCAAAAGAGGCATCTTGCAGTGAACAGGCAGAGCCAAGGCAGGCCTCCTCCAATGTCCAAGTGGCACCCTCTCTCATGACCTGGAATGTTTTGTCTGGCCAAGTGCCCACCCAGAAACAGGGTTCCTGCTTTCAAATACCTGAAGGTCTGTCACCGAGAAAAATGTGCCATGCGCTCTGGGAGGGCAGCACAAATCACAGCACAGCATAGGAGGGGGAGGGGCAAGCTGGGGAAGATATTGGTGCCAGGATGATCCCACTGTCCCAGGAAGAACTCTGGAACCGTGGGTTGGGGGTGGGTGCTCAGGAACAGATCAGGCTGTATCTGGAGGTGATGAGCTGTCATTGACAGAAGCCAAACGGTCGACCCTGGCACCCATCACTGGGGGCTGGTGTCCAGGGAATTCCTGCACTGATGATGTCCCATCCCCAAGAAGGCCTCAAACTGGGGTCTGGCTAGTTCCCCAGAGTTTAGATGTTGGGAGTGTGGGAAGGCACGGGGTAGAGTGGAGGAGACACCAGGTACCCCTGTCATCCTTTCTGTATGGCCAGGGAAAGGCCTGCTATAGTTCCCCATAGACTTGACCTCCTTGGCAGGCCTAGACTCCCTTGAGAAATAAGAGTGGTTTCAGTGAGTTTAGCAGAGGTAGAAATAGACTTCCATTTCACTCCTTCAGAAACCCCCATTTGGTCACCAAGTCCTCTAAGCAGGGATGTAACATTGAGAAGGTGTGGACCAGGGAGAGGGCCAGGAAGAGCTCAGGCTTCCTCCTGCAGGCTTCCCCACCCAGCTGAGCCAGCCCTCCTCTGCCCCAGCAATTCCTGAAAAGTGAAAGGCGGCCTTGGGTTGCCTCTGCTGTGCCCTTGGTTGTCCTTTGTAGCTAGACCTTTCACCCCCTCAGCTCCAGGCAGATTAGTCTGTCGACAGGCTGGTGGAAGAAAGCAGGTGTTGGGGCCTGGAGAGAAGAGGAAGCGTAACCAGGACATCTTTTCACCCAAACAGGTTTAAATCTAATCCAGGATTAATGGGGGCCAGGGAGATTGGAAGCCAAGCCCAGGAACCTGGAGGTTGGTGGTGATCAAAAGGGTTTTCTCATTACCTCACCCCTCCTGGGACCCAGGTGTCCTAGATCCACACACATGCACATGCCCATAAGGCTTCAGGCTGCCCCTCCCCTTTGGAGAGGGGTGTGTGTTGAAGGTGAACCTGAACCTGAACCTGGACACAGGCCTGTGGGATGAGACAGAGACCCACGCTAGCCTGGGGTCAGGCATGGCTGCTGAAGCTGACTTTCCACCTCAGCTGCCAAGGGCTGTGCTGCCCTTGAGCCAAGGCATTTGGGTGGGGAAAGTAGACTGGCCAGAAATCAGGCCTTTTTCCTGCCTCCCACTCCTGCACCTCACCTGGGATGGAGGCTCACCTCCTGCTAGAGATTCTCAGCAAAGGGACAAGGAGGAGCCGCTTCTATGCTACCCATGCCCCTCTCCTCTCCCAGGCTGCCACCCTATCCCCTTTGCTGGGCACCTCCACTGCAGTCAGCTGATAGGGCCACCTGGGTTTCAGGTGTCTGGGGATGGAATCCAAATAGGGTTCCAGGATTCAAGTCCCACTTTCCCTCGTCGATTTATTGGTCCTGAGCCATCAGGGCAGGAGCCCAGCCAGGAGGGCTCAGGGTCAGAAGTGTGCAAAAATGCCAGAACCAGGGCAGGGATGGAAAAATCAGTTTTTATGGAAACAACACATTATAGTGTCTAAGGGCATATACTTTGGAGCCAGAAAGAGTAGGTTAGCATCCCAGTTCTGCTGTTACCAGCTATGTGCTCACACACAAGTGACATTACCTCTCAGAACCTCACTTTTTTCATCCTTAAAGTGGGAATAATACTTACATTAGCACTGTAGTGAGGATTAAATGAGAGTCTGTAATGGAGAGTGCAGGGAGTAAGCCTGCAGTACTGATCTGAGACTTAAGGAGGTGGAGATCAGTAGCTTAGTCTTTGCCGAGGTCAGACACACCCCTCAGCTGAAGTAATCAAACTAGGAGTCCTGGAGAAGGGCAAAACTCAAGCTGAGACTTCTGTGTTCTGAGCCACATGTTGTAGAGACAGACAAATGGCCATGAGACAAAGAAAAGTTAGGGACAGGTGGAGAGGGAGAGACAAGGTGTAAGAAGTGGCTATAGGCTGAAGAGCTGGCCACACACCAGACCCTGTAATTCCACCCAAGACTAGGTTATCTCCAACAGTGAGGAGGTCGGGTCTTGTTAACAGGAGGTAGGAATTTGATCTGCCTTGGCCTTGCTGCTCACCCCACTCACTGGAGCTCTCTTTTGCAGCAGTCCTGCTAGGGCCTAGAGCCCATCTCCTCTGCCCACTGCAAACCTGTCTGCCTCCTTCTCCTGCCAGGCTTCTTGGGAACACTGGCCCTACTACCAGAGCCTCATGAGCCCCCATGAATGCCAGTGAAGGGAGTCCTGGCTAATGAGGCCCTAGCTGGTCAAGGGCTGGGCGCTCCACCATGCCATCCATCTTGCAGCGCTTGCAGCAGGCCACCAAGACCATGAGCCGCAGGAAAATCCTGCTGCTGGTACTGGGGTGCAGCACTGTAAGCCTTCTCATCCACCAGGGGGCGCAGCTCAGCTGGTAAGTGGGTGGGCCCCCAAAGGAGGCAAGTTCCCTCAGAGCCACATGGGTTCACACTAAGAAGGGGTTTATCAGGGATGGTGGTGCTGGCCAGCAATGCCAGCTATGCTGAGTTAGGATTGCAAGTTCAAGGCCACCCTTGGCAACACCCTGTGTCAAAAATAAAAGAACTGGGGCTCCCCTTCCCATTCTTCTACCTAACAGAAGAGTCCTTCTGTTAATCTTTACTCCTTTACTCTGAAAGTGCTTTCCATACATGTCCTCTACATCCACAACTGGCCTTCACTGAAAGGACTGAGTTACTTGTTCAAAGTCATAGAGTCAGTCAGAGTTAGCTAGGATATGAATTCAGCCCAAACCCTGTGGGAACAGCATGATAGCTGAGTGCTGCCCCAGTGGACAGCACATAACTTCTCATTACTTCTTTTGTTCTGGGCAAAGCCATTCACTTCTCTGAGCCTCAGTTCCTCACTTATAAAGTGGGAGTGATGGTATGTACAACCCACTAGTCACCCTGATACAAGGTACCATGTGCTGACTGATGGGAATCCTGCCCCTGCTCCTGACTTCCTGTGAACTCAACAATTCCCTGTACCTCTCTGAACCTCAATTTCCCATTTTTTTTTTCTACGTGGCCTGCCCCTGAGAATGGTATGAACAGTGTGAACCAAATGATTTGCTAGTCTTATGTGTGTGTAGCCGTTATCCTGAACCAAAGCAGCTACAGATAGGAAATCTCCATGGTGTTCTGTAAGCTGCTTCACACTGCCCTCATTACGTGATCTTAGGATGGCAGAGAAAAAGGTGAGTGAATTAAAACCTGCAGGACCTTATAGGTCACTAGTCATCCCAAACACCCTCGTTTCAGGAAGGAGGAACAGAAATGAACACTTCATGAAGGGTTGGAGTATCATCTGTTTCGTAGACTGTTGCATTTCTTGAGCATAGAAGAGTGCTGGCACACAGTAGATTTTTGCTCAAAAAAAAAAAAAATGCTGAATGTATGACTAAGGCTCCAGAGATCTTAACAGAACCTATAACAAATGGCTTGCTACAAAGCCTGGTGTCCCCCACCTAAAAAGTGAGGAATCAGTTAAAGAGTAAAATGAGAAGAAGATAGAGGATTTAGTGATTGTCTCCAGATTCTCCTCTGGTCCTCAGTTTCTACATCTGTAAGTGGGATTCCTCAAGGATCCTGAAGGGCATTTGTCCCTTCCGTTATCTATTTTTTGGAAACATTTTTTATAGTAAATTGACACAATACCTTTGTTTTATTTATTTATTTGTTTGTTTTTTAGTTGGACACAATATCTTTATTTATTTATTTTTATTTGCTCATGAGGATCGAACCCTGGGCCTCGCATGTGCTAGACAAATGTTCTATGGCTGAGCCACAACCCCAGCCCCCCCGTTTGTTTTATTTTTATGTGGTGCTGAGGATCGAACCCAGTGCCTCACACCTGCGATGTGAGCACTCTACCAACTGAGCTATAACCCCAGCCCCCATTATCTATTTTTGAATAAACAAATTACCTTGAAACTTAGCAGCTGAAAACAACATTTATTCTCTCCCTTTCTGTGGGTCAGGAATCCAGGTGTAGCTTACTGGGTACCTCTGGTTCAGGTCTTCCATGAGTGTGCAATCAAGGCGTTAGCCAGGGCTGCTCCTCATCTGAAGGTCTGACTGGAAGAGATCCCCTTCCAAGCTCACTCAAGTGGTTTGGCAGACTTCAGTTCTTCAAGCAGTCTGTTGCCATGTGTTACCTCCCTATAGGGCTGCACACAGTGTGGTAGCTTGCTTCCCCCAACATGAGTTATCTTAGAGAGAGTGGGAGGGGGAAAAAGAAAACACCATCAAGATGGAAGCCATAGCCTTTCTCTGATATAATCTAAGAGGTGACATCCCATAGTTTCTGCCCTATTCTATTCGTCATGCGCATCGATGAGCCCAGTCACCCCAAGAGGAGAATACACAAGGGTGTGGTTATCAGGAGGACAGCAGGGATCGTGGGGCCCAGCTTAAAGGCACCCCTGCCCCCACTGCTCCAGGGGTAAAGCCTGGGCAGCACATCCGGGCAAGCCCTCCTCTCACATATGCCCGGGCCCTGCAGGTACCCTAAGCTATTCCCTCTGAGCTGCCCACCCCTGCGGGAGTCGCCACCGCGCCCCAAGCATATGACAGTGGCCTTCCTGAAGACGCACAAAACGGCGGGCACCACAGTGCAGAACATCCTGTTCCGCTTCGCCGAGCGCCACAACCTGACTGTGGCCCTGCCGCATCCGAGCTGCGAGCACCAGTTCTGCTACCCGCGCAACTTCTCGGCGCACTTCGTGCATCCGGCCACGCGGCCGCCACACGTGCTGGCCAGCCACCTGCGCTTTGACCGCGCGGAGCTGGAGCGCCTCATGCCGCCCGGCACCGTCTATGTCACCATCCTGCGCGAGCCGGCCGCCATGTTCGAGTCGCTCTTCAGCTACTACAACCAGTACTGCCCGGCCTTCCGGCGCGTGCCCAACGCGTCGCTCGAGGCCTTCCTGCGCACGCCCGAGGCCTACTACCGCGCGGGCGAGCACTTCGCCATGTTCGCGCACAACACGCTGGCCTACGACCTGGGCGGTGACAACGAACGCAGCCCGCGCGACGACGCCGCCTACCTGGCGGGCCTGATCCGCCAGGTGGAGGAGGTCTTCTCGCTCGTCATGATCGCTGAGTACTTCGACGAGTCACTCGTGCTGCTGCGGCGCCTGCTGGCCTGGGACCTGGACGACGTGCTCTATGCCAAGCTCAACGCACGCGCTGCCAGCTCGCGCTTGGCTGCCATCCCTGAAGCGCTGGCGCGGGCCGCGCGCGCCTGGAACGCCCTCGACGCCAGCCTCTACGACCACTTCAACGCCACCTTCTGGCGCCGCGTGGCACATGCCGGCCGCGCATGCGTGGAGCGCGAAGCGCGCGAGCTGCGCGAGGCCCGGCAGCGCCTGCTGCGCCGTTGCTTCGGCGAAGATCCGGTGCTGCGTCCAGCCGCGCAGATCCGCACCAAGCAGCTGCAGCCATGGCAGCCCAGCCGCAAGGTGGACATCATGGGCTATGACCTGCCTGGCGGCGGCGCCGGCCCAGCCACCGAGGCCTGCCTCAAGCTGGCCATGCCCGAGGTGCAGTACTCGAACTATCTGCTGCGCAAGCAGAAGCGCCGTGGTGGTGCTCGGGCCCGGCCCGAACCCGTCCTGGACAATCCCCCACCCAGACCCATTCGAGCCATCCCCCGAAGTCCCCAGGGCTCCTGAGCCGTGAGCTGACTCCCAGAGCCTGCATCCTGCCCTGCCCTCCCAGGAGGAGGCTGCCTCCAGGTCCTGCCCCATCAGGGCCCTTTCTTTCCCAGGGGCTTGAGCCTCACACCGAACTGAGGGTGCATCTCCCCATCTGAGCCGACCTTTTAGGCCTGATGGAGCCCTGGGCCACCCTCTTCTTCCCAGCTGGTTGGTGACTTTAACAAGAGGTGTAAGGTCCGTCCCAAAGCCCTGGCCCTACTTTTTTCTGGGGGCTGGGTCCCCCCCACACCTGTCTTTCCAAGTAGATGAGTGCAAGCCCCAGAGTGGGGCTGAACCCCAGGCAGTGGCTGTGCTGTTTCTCAGTATGGCTGGGTTCTTGCTCTTCCCAGGGCTGCAGAGACCCCTATACTGTGTGTCTTCCAGGTTCCACCCTCCCCACAAACCTAAGCTGCTCCCAGACTCCCAGGACCAAGAGTTCCTGGATTGGGCTTTTTGTTGGTTTGTTTTTCTCTTTTTCTTTTTCTTTTCTTTTTTTTTAAATAAAACACCTTTAAAATGTGCAGGCAGTATGTCATTCATTGAAAGACAGATTCCCCATATTTGAGTATGAGACAGATATCTAGGAGGTACTGTGACTGGCCCCTATGAAGATGGGAACCTAGACTTAGTCAAGCTCCTAGTTGCCCCTCCCAAAGGCCCACAACTCTCCTCAACCCTTTGATTGACTGGGCTCACCAATACAGACCACAGCCACCTCAGTCTCTCTCATTTTTCAAATCAGTCATTTTTGTTTATTTGGCATCATTAACTGAACAGCATTTGTAACTTGAAGATGCAGGTGACCAGGACAGATAGGGTCTTTATCTTCCTGGAGCTCACCCAAGACAGTGAAATGGAAGCAAGCATGGAAGCAAACAGTAAGGACTGTGCAGGTTAGAGCACACTGCACTAGGAAGAACAGTGTGAAGATCCTCCTCTGGGAGGAGGATCCGTTTCCGGTTTCAGGTTAGGGAATGTTTACCTCCAATTTTACCTCTCCCAGCAAGTCCCTACTCTAAGGAGGACCAATTCCTCTCCCAGTTTTCTTGAGCACAGCAAGATATCCATATCTGCTGGGCACTCTTGCATAGCCCGAAATACCAACAGTTTGAGAGGCTGAGACAGGAAGATTGCAAGTTCAAGGTCAGCTTCAGCAATTTAGCAAGACCCTTTCTCAAAACATGAAGGGGCTGGGAATGTAGCCCAGTGGTAAATTGCCCCTACGTTAAACCCATAGTATCCCAGTGCCCCCCCCCAAAATATAACCAAATCTAGCACTTTCAAATGAAACTTCCCTTAAGACTAGCAAAATTTCAGGACTTCTCTTTCTTCAGAGCTACCTTGACATATCTGGACAAAAAATAAAAATGATATCTAATATGGTCCACTGTATGCCAGTCATTGTTTAAGGGCTTTCCATGTATTAACTTAGGAGATAGACACCATGTTCCAGTTGGAAAATGAATTTTAAGTGACATCAGGGTCACACAGCTAGAAAGTGGCCACTAGAATTTGAACCTTGACAGCATAACTTCAAAGTCTGTGCTTGTAATTGCTGTGCATGGTGCCATTTAAATAAAGTCACATGGCACAGGCTAGGCTGACTCCCAGGACCTCCCAAAAGAATGTAAAGTGAAGAACCAAGATGCCAATATCAGCTCTTATCTTTTCTTTTTTTTTTCCACAGAGAAAATAGTTGACCTGCTTGGACAATGAAGATTGCAATGGTTGGTTGGCAGGCCATATGACACTGTATCTTAGTCATAGATACAGTCTGTTGCCATAATAAATGACCTATGACTGGGGAGTTTATAAGGAAAGAAGTTTGTTTTGACTCAGGGTTCTGAATGCTGGGAACATGGCACCAGCATCAGGTTGGGCCATGTGGCAGAGGGCAAGTGGGTGCAAGCAGAAGAGAAAGAGACAAAACACAAGGAAGGGTGGCCTCACTTTAGAACTTCCTCTCACAGTAACTAAGCCAGTTCCCAAGAGCAAGAACACACACCCATGAGTGAGGTGTTTATCCATCTTAATGACCTAGTCACCTCTTAAAGTCATCATATCCTCTCAGCATTATTATATTGGGGACCAAATTTCTTTTTTTTTTAAATATTTATTTATTTTTCGGTGGACACAACATCTTTGTTTGTATGTGGTGCTGAGGATCGAACCCAGGCCGCACGCATGCCAGGAGAGCGCGCTACCGCTTGAGCCACATCCCCAGCCCCTGGGGACCAAATTTCAACACAAGTTTTCGAGTGGGTAAACCCCACCTGAATCATAGCACACTTCCTTAGGCTTGAAAGGGGTGATTTATATAGCACCCCACTTTTTACCAGTAGAGCTCTGGAAAAGGCAATAATTAGAGCATGCAAGGCCATAATTAGTTCTCTGATGCTCAGCAGAAATAAAGAATTGTACTAGACTCAAAGTCGTGTATTCAAACACAGGTGTCCTTTGGCCCCCAAGCCTAGAAGATGTCTTTATTCCTTCTTCTGCCAGCCCTAGCCTCTGGTGACATCTCCGGCAGGAACGTCCGTCACCCTACCCTGGGTCTGCCTCAGAAACTCAAACATGCCTTTTCAATCTGCTTTGATAGGCCTCCCCTACCTTCCCAGGCTCTCGGCAGGCAGGCATTTACATTGCCCCACTTTTGCAGCCACAATTCTGAACTCAGAAATATCTGCATTCAGAAACTTAACAGGAAGAGAGGGCTTCTTTGATGTAGGGGTAAGGACAGACCCTGAGGTGAGCAGGGGTTCTGACTCCTCAGTCCAAACTCCTCCAGATGCAACCCAGGGGAAGGCCCAGCCCCTGTGGTCCCAATGCCCTGCAACAAAGCTCCACCAATGCACATCTGGTCTGGCCCCTCTGTGCCTACCCTGCAAAGTTCTAGAGCTTTAGAACCGTGGTGATTGTGGCCCCTGCCTCAAGGAGCTCACCGCAAGGTATGGAACAGATGTAGGAGCAGCCAGTGGGAGGCAATGATTCCATGGATATGACTTTTCCTAATAATTAACCATCAGTGCTCTGAAGTTCAAACCCTGGATCTGCTACTACTGGCTACATTTGGGGGGCAGGGGTACCAAGGATTGAACTCAGGGGGACTCCACCACAGAGATACATCCCCAGCCCTATTTTGTATTTTATTTAGAGGGTCTCACTGAGTTGAGTGTCTCACTTTTGCTGAGGCTGGCTTTGAACTTTCAATCCTCCTGCCTCAGCCTCCCGAGCCCTAGGATTATATAGGCATGAGCCACTGCGCCCAGCCCTACTTTTTTTCACTCAGTATTTGAGCCTGACCCAGCCAACCTCCATGAAATAAAGATCCCCCCATGGGATTCTGGGAACAGTATTTGAGATAAGGCACCTAACACAATGTCTGGCACATAGAAGTGCCCCCAAGTTGCCACCTCTGGTTTTATCAGGGCTCCTCCAGTATTAACACATGGTAGATGTTACAGGCTGGCACATCCGTTTAAGAGTTTTCTAGCAGTTGGAAGACAGCATTTTGAGGAAGAGGTGCATTTTTCCACTTGGCCCAAAGGCATAATATGGGCCAGCAATAATCTTGATTTTTATGAATACAGAAGAATGAAAGTGTGTGGGACTGGGGTACTATAGCGAACAACTTTCATCCCAGCCACTTGGGAAGCTGAGGCAGAAAGACCTCAAGTTTGAGTTAGGCCTCACTGTTGAGCCAAAACAAATGTTTCCTCTTTATAAACTGATTATTTCAGGTAGTTTGATACAGTACCTTTGTTACAGAAAGCTGACATACACACTGGGCCCTCTAGGTGGCCAGTACCAGTTTAGGAAAGGCCTTGAATGACATGCTTGGAAGTTCAGATTAGCTAATTTCACTCTTGTATGTTTTTGAAACGAGGTCTTCCTATGTTTCCCAGTTTGGTTTCAAACTACTGAGCTCAAGTGATCCTTCTGCCTCTGCCTCCTGAGTGCTGGTAAATACAGGTGCAAGTCACCATGCCTGGCAGGATTTCTAAGGGTCATGTCAACCAGTCAAGATTCCCAGCCCAGAGAGGATGGCCCTGAACACATCATTGAGAGAGTAACTGGAATAAGCTGAATAACGTGAACCTCTTGCCACCTCCCTGCCATCTCTGCCTATGGCATGTTGGTTTTTGCAGTACTGGGGATGGGACCCAGGGCCTGTAAATTCTAGGCAAGTGCTCTACCACTGAGCTGCATCCCCAGCCTTTTTATATTGAGACAGGATCTCATTAAATTGCCCAGGTTGGCCTTGAACCTTCAATTCTCCTGCCTCAGACTTCCAAGTAGCCGAGATCACAGGCATGCACCACTGCACTTGGCTTCAGTAGTTTTCTTTAGTCGGGAAAGCTATACCCTTAGAATGGATCATAGTGGACATTGTGGCCATAAGGGTGTTTCTACTAATATGGTGACAGAAAGGGAACTCTTAGAGACGCATTGAGACCATCTAAAACACCTCCATTGAGGACATGCCCTTTACTATTGCCCACCTTACCTGACAAGGGCTCTTTTGCTCTACTCTGCCTAGCCAGGGTTTAATCCTCAGGGCTGAGGGGCTGCAGGAAGTGGGAGGGAGCAAAAGGTTTGAACAACTTTTTTTCCGATTTTCATTTGTTCTTTATGTTGGGCATTTTTTCATTTCTTTTTATAAATTATTTGAGTAAACATCATGTTTTGAGGCAAAAGAAGAAACCAAGAATATTTATCCTTTATTTGGGGGTAGGTTCTTGCCACAGGTACTGTCTTTTCTTGCAAAAAAACACTAATCCATCTCCCCCATCCAGTCAATTACCTCCTGATCCCAGAGACTCTCCCCTCCCTAGATAAATTCCTCTGAAAATTATTCAATTATTGTTCCAGACATAAAGGCAAGCTCCTTGAGGCAGGTGTTAGACCACGACGCAAGAAAAGACCACTGACTCAAATTAAAATCAAATTAAAGCAAGCTTATTATTTCGACCGGCCGGGCTGCCTTGCCCATCAAAATCGTGGGAGCCAAGGACAGCGGCGAGGCTTCTTTGTGGCCCAGTTTTATAGCCCAAAAAGTTACACAAAGGGGGGTTACAGATAACAACACTCTGAGGACCATAACACAAGTTTACATTTTTGCTGGCCCCGGCATCAGAATTTATGGAGATCTTAGAGACTCAGAGAGGGTCGTTATCCGGCCAGGGAAGGCCAGAATTTATGAGGCGTCACTAAGGTTTAGGAAAGGGTTGTTATATGGTCAGGGAAAACTGGACATGGGTGAGTTCTGGGCACTGGCAGGCATTCCAATCAGCTTTACAACATCAACTAATGGCCAGGCCATACAGACATCCTGATATTTTTACAGAAAACAGAAATGAATCCTTCATAACTTGTGACAAGCTGGCTTCTGATCTAATGAGATAACTAGGCTAGGTATATCAGCAGGGGCCACATGATTCTAAAGCTCTAGAACCTTGTGGGCACAGAGGGGCCAGCGCCAGATGTGTGTTGGTGGAAGGAACTTTGCTGCAGGGCATTTGGACCCCAGGGCCTGGGCCTGTCCTCTGGGTTGCAGCTGACATTGGAGGTTTTTGGACTGAGGAATCAGAGCCCCTGC